CATTTGGGATTAAAACTAAGCACAAGAAATATAATATTGTAGCTTCAACATACAGGCAGGCCTTCAATTTGGAGTCTTCAAAAAACTGTGAATAGGGAGTAGGGCATGAATAGTGCACAACCCCACCCCATTTTGTTCCTTGTTCAGAAAAGCTGGAAGTTGATTGATCTAGAGAAATCCCTTCTCATAGGAATGTAGGATCTTTCCACTTACTAACCATGTGGCCTTGGCCAAGTCCGAACCTTTCCAGAGGCCAGCCTATGCCCAGATCTATCTTAACTGAGTGGCTGTGAAATCAAATATGTAAATGATAGAATGATACAATGTGTGAAAAATACTTTTTAAACCTTAAAACCACTTTTTTTTAAAAAGTTAGCTATAGTGGATTGTAATTTCCTTGAGAGTGTTCCCTATAGACAGTGAAGCTCTTTGTAAACTTTAAAAATCTATTTAAAAATATCAGCTAGTGTTACTATTCTCCTTACCACTCACTTTGCCATTTAATCATATATTGTCACATAATTGTTTCATATGCGTACATCTTGTCTCCCCAATGAGATTATAAACTTCTTGAAGGCAGGAACCACATATGGTACTCCTCATAGCGACTGTGTCTGTCAACATATGCAAATATTGTACTCCTAGAGGCTACCATCTCTTTACCAAGAGGAGTAAAATATATTTATCATAGGTCTTCTGGAGCCAAGATTTGTGATCACACTTAGTCTGATTTGTGTTGTCTTGTAGTGTTTTTTCTTGTGTATTATTGTAGATATGTTATTTCCCCATGATTTTCTGAATCCTTCATTTATGTAATTTCTTATAGCATGATAATAAATATTTTATTACATTCATTTGTCACAATTTGTGTTATGCACACACATTGTGATGAAGATCTAGATTTGCATGACACTAAACAAATGAGCAATTGTCACTCCTGTGACCTCTTTATCAATAAATATATAATTTTCTTCATGAGTACGGGAAAAAATGATATCTTTTTAATGTAACCTATTTAAAGATTTTACAATTGAATATTGCTTACAGCAGTAAAGCTATCTCTGATGGGGGAAAAAAATTCTGTCAAGGACATGGCCTGCCCCAATGTACCACTTATTTCCGCAGGGAAACCCAATTATAACAGTGATTTTCTAGAGCTGACTCCACAAGAGGCTGAGTAGAAAAAGCTTACAGCTAAGCAGATGATAATATGCCCTAAAAACTTGACTCAGTCAGTAATAGCTTAGGTGTGGGTTGGTACACACACAAGAAGATATCTGCCTTATGATTACATTAAGTTTCACATTAATCTCCTGTGATTGATTGTTGATATTTACACAAACTGAGTACTTAATATTATTGTACTCACCTTTTTGCTAAGTGTGGGCCTAGGGTGAGGCCATGAGCCATTTGTCCTATATTCCCTGATTGATTCCCCTTAGGTAAGCTGAAACTGACAAAATTCCACAACTTAATTACTTTCCCCTCCATAAACCTGGTACAGAGTGAAGAGGATAAGATATGGCCACTACCAATGGCTCCTCAATTTCAAATAATATTGGATAAAAATTCTTTAGGAATTTCAACAAATTGGGACTGTCTTAAAGAGTTTTGTTTTTATATTTTTGATTTTGTTTTTTGTTAGTAGAGACATTATAAAGAACACTGGATTCCTCATTAGGAGACTGATTCTCTTTTCCACTTTGCTACTAACTAGCTTTGTGACCTCAGTCAAGTCACTTCTGGCCTTCTGTTTCCTAATTTGTAAAAGAGGGCATTGGACAAGATAATCTCCTGGTTCCTTTTTTTTTTTACCCTAATATTCCATTTCAGATATTCAACATGGTTGCTGGTACCAAGCCCTTTACAATTACTTCTTACTTACATCCTCTTAAAATCCTTTATAATAGTGTGGTGAATCATACATTTCAAAAAAACTTTGAGTCAGGCAGGATATACCAGATTTTGTAATACTGTGTTGTTTCTGATTAAGGGCTTAATAAGACAGAATGAGGATATTAAAATTAATACACTCTACTCAAATTCTGTGCCCATAAAGTACATTTTACATTTGTCAAATGAGGCATCCATGCATATCTCTCTTTCATTATTCTAAAATAGGAGATTCTGTAGGGATGCGTCTCTCTGTAACTTGACTGTGTTTCTTCCCATCCTATTTAAGTCTTACCCTACCTGACTATATTTAAGGAAGTGTTTACTTATCCTCTAATCCTAGATTCTTACATTTCCTGGATGTCCTTTAAAGCATAAATATCCCCATATGCTGCCTGCTCCTTGGAGCTCTTGGAGGTGAATAAGATCACTGGAAGATTTTAAAGGAATTCCAAAGGATGAGCAGTTCATTATTGAGAAGTTTATACTGTAGGTACAAATTTATGGTAAATGATGAAAATGCTTATTAAGAATTCCCTGAATGCAGATCTACCTTCTGGCGTTCTATTAGGTGTGGTAATGTTTGCAGTTGCCGAACTGTTGTTTACTTTGTAACTTTTTATTTTCTACTTTGAGCAGAAATTTTCATGAGATATTATATAATCCATTCACAGGAGGGATGCTTACTCTTTCCTTTCCTCCATGCTAGAGACTAGGAGGAGGCTCCTAGTGAACTTCAGGATCAGCATCAGTCATGGCGATAGATACAGATTCAGGAAGACCTTAGTTAAAATTCGGCCTCATCCACTTACCAGCTGTGTGACCCTGGGCAACTCACTTACCTTTCTCATCCTTCATTCCTCATTGTAAAATGAAGATCATAATGGCACCTACATCAGAGGGTTATTGTGATTATCAAATGAGATAACATATTTTGTAAAGCCTTTGGTAATTTCTTTCCAATTCGATACAAGAAGAATGTCCCAAGTAGCAGAATGAAGGTGCAAAGTATCTGCTGTTGATCTGATAATGTCAGAGTAACAATGACTTACAAGTAACTGGCAAGGAGAATCTTGGACTTGGGTTTAAAAGTCATTCAAATAGACAATTCTCTATAGGATCTACTGTAGCTGTGACTTAGGCTGGAGCTAACCACACCGTCTATTTTCATAAAGGCAGTCTTCAGCTTAAAAATAGGCTATATTCCAAAAAGAATGGAATATAGTTCCCCACAGAAACATTGTTTCAAGTGAAGGTTAAATCCCCAGCTGGTCCACAAAAGCTTATTTAATCTATAATGCAGCTCAAACTATAGCACTAATTGTACTATAGTTTTCTATTGTTTCTATGGGAAAATAGGTTCTGAGTACCAACTGGGTCTCCATGGTCCCAGTCTCTAGACAAGAATCCCCTTTCCTCTGTTCTAACCCTCTTTCATCCCCCTCCTTTTCCTTTCCTGTAGTAGTAGCAAAACAAAGGGAATCCCTTCATACACAGGCAATTAGGGAAGGGCTGGCTCTGATAGTGACCACTGTGTGGTATCTAGTGGGCAAACCTTGGGAACTCTTGTGAGTTGGGAATAAAGATTTTATGGTAGTGCCTGTAAGGGTATGTAAGGCGGGGAGGGACAGGGGAAGTTCAACAGCTCTTCCTATGGGAAAGTTGATAAGGGCACAGTGACTCTGATGTTAATGAGCTCATATTGCGGGACATCCATTAAGTTTGAGGATCCGCAGAGGGGAGATAGAGTTTAGGAGGAGTAGGCAAGATTGACCATGAAAGCAAAAAGTTGAATATTGATAGAGAAGGAAGATGGGGTCCTGTGTAATAAGGAGGTGGTAAGATTTGGGGAAGTAATAATAATGATGATAGTTAGCATTTATATATCACTTTATGATTTGTAAAGTGTTTTGCATGTTATTTTATTCTCACAACCGCCCTGTGAGGTAGATGCTGTTATGATTTTACAGCTTACATTAGAGTGCAGATTACATTTACAGATAAGTAAACTGAGGCAGGGAGAAGCTAAGTCATTTGTCCAGGGTTACACAACTTATTAGTGTCTGAGGCAGAATTTGAACTCAATAGAATTATGTTAACTCACAGAAAAACCTACCCTCAGTAGGGTATGTTAAATGTGGTAGCACAGGATCATATGTGATTGGAGGAGCAGGAGAGGAATGAGGGTAATTCAAGTAGGATGTGGTGGGGGTTCAGGGGTGGAGGTGGGAGAGTCTTAATGACAGCAGGATAGAGACTATTCTGGCAGCAGGATGTCTCCTTTTCCATACAGTTCTCACCTAAAATGGAATTAGTAAAGATCTGAAGTAGCTGTTTGTATCTAAGGGATGCTTCTAAAACTAGCTTTTGGGAGTTGAGTACTGTCTATATACCATGTTTTTACATCAAGAAACATTTTTTTCTCTTAATAAAGGAATGAGAGTGTGTGAGGAGTATGCATATGCTTATATACACCACCCTTTTATGGATCTGTAACTGTATGCAAAATTATGGAATATTACACTTGATTTTTATTTTGCATATACTAATGTGTACATGTTCCTAACCTAATATTTCAGCAGTGGATCTTTTTCCTATAATTGCTCCTAATTTTCATAGAATGAAAAGTAGATAATAGGGAATTTAGAAGAATGCAACCCTTATAAAGTTATGAATATAACTTAATCATATTTATTTTATTAAGTTAGGGGTCATCCCCTCTTCTAAACCTAGCAAGGTTTAGAAAAAGAAAAAAAAAACATTCACAGTTGTTATTTTCTACTATTCCTGGAATTTGGTCCATGTTAAGGTACCTGCAGGCATAAAATCATATGTTGATTATGTTTGCCATTTTATAGTTCATCAAAATGAGGAAGTGTCAAATACCTACCATCCTAATCCCGAATCCAGCATTCTTTGCTAAAGGCTTTCTTCATTGTAACCAGCCTCTGATGGTAATTGGTTGAATCAGATTTAACAATGCAGTCAGATAAACAGTTGTGGCAGCTGCTGTCATGGCAACGTCATCGTACTTACCCTCCCAGTGCGTGCCCCTTCCCCACCCCTCCTTCTTTTCCTCCTCCTTCCCTCCAGTTAAGTGACACACTCGCTAGTGGTCTGTACAGTCGGGAGGTTTTAATGGCAGCGCCCTTTTCTTTCAAAACTGTTCAATATGATGAACGAAGAGGCAGCTCAAAAGAGCGACAGTGGGGAGAAGTTCAATGGTTGTAGTCAGAGGAGGAGAAGACCCAAAAAGGTAATTTATTGGAGAGAGAGAGAGAGAGAGAGAGAGAGAGAGAGAGAGAGAGAGAGAGAGAGAGAGAGAGTGTGAGTGTGTGTGTGTGAGAGAAAATAACAGAAGATTTAGAATTGTCAAGCTCTATTGATAAGTATAAGGAGCTCAGAAGCTTTCTGTTTGATGCTTTAAAAAAAGACAGGTGCTGTTCACTGAGAATATTTAAGAAACAAGGACTTATAATGGATGCACAGTCTAAAACATGAAGCTTCACAGATAGGGTGTATTCAGCATGTGGAACTATCAAGGGGTGTTGTCACCATTAGATCGCATTGGCACTAACCCCATCGTAAAGAAAATCGTTTTATTTTTAGAATGGGGGTTGCAAGGAAATGGGTTAGCCAAGATGGACAGTGAAGGGAGAGAGGATTTTGTTTTTTGGCCAGATGCCTCTGTTTTGTAATGGTCTTGAAATGACTAGACAGCAAATGCCTTTTAGTTCTTTAAGGAGCAAAGACTGTAGTGACAGGAGAAATATGATCCCGCAACATGCTCTTTCCCCTATACTCCACTATAATTTTATCAGGTACTGATGTGGTATGGTGTCTTTCTATGATTGCTCTCCATTTATTGTATTTATTTCAATGATGATCTTGGCAAATGCTGGTGTGAGTAATCTTTTAATGATTTAGATTTATTGTGGAAGATGTCACTCCAGGGACGAACAAAACTTATAGAATTTCCCTCCCCAATATAGATTCCCACATCTTGGATTTCCATGTAAATGATAAATAAGGGGAAAAATGCAAACTATTCAGCCCCACCCAATTTCAGCACTTCTTTCTTTATGGCCTGACTCCTTCTGGTAAAGTGTTGCAGCATCATAGATTTTTAGCAAAGCCCACCTATGAAGTAGATGCTTCATGATAAAGGTTATCACATCCATCTATTTATTGTAGATATACTATGAGTTCGATACATGGTATAGTTCTAATGTTTTAAAATCCAATTCTTAGAAAGTAAATGGATTATGTAACTTAGAAAATTTCAAACCTATATCTCTGATTAGACAAATATTTTTCATTTTAATCGTAGCAAAGCTATGTTGTTTTCGAACATTACAAACCACTGATTTGCTACCTATCTCCAACACAGTCTGAAAGGAATACTACACACCCAGGTTATTTAAAAGAGCATTGCACCACTGGAGCAAAGCTGTGGTGTGGGTTTGCACATTTCTGTGTAATTAGAATTAGCCACACACACTGCATATGGAAATAACTTGATGTTAACATTGAGACAGTTGCAATTGAACAAAAACTAAGATCAAAACCAAAAGGTAATGCAGAGATGCCCAAAGAATCCCTCCCTTATGTTACTGGACTCAGGTTCTTTTGATACTCCTAACCCACAAAAGCGTTTTAAAAAGAAAATGTTAGCTATTAGCTAATACCACAGAACAGGAAAGATAAAATGGAATTTTTTGCTTCAGCTCAACTGATCGTTTAAAAATAGTTTCCATTTCTGTCAGCAGTACTTTGGATTTCATAACCGTAATAGACTGTGTGTGTATTTGTTTGAGCATGTGCACTATTAAAATGGTTTCTCAAGGAGAATTTATTTTATATTACATGATCATGACCAAAAGTTATGCTGGAGAATTTTAAGGGACAAAGAGAAAGAAATAACTATACTTTGAAAAATCCTCATTGTTTTATACATTTATTTTTTTTTAAGGAGCATCCTATAACCCAAATTATCTGTATAAATTGTGTGTATGTATGCTTCTAATCAGATCCATTTTTGAGCTGTTACAATTAAGTTTCCTAAAATAATTTCAAGTGCTTAAGAAAGTATAATTTATAGTGTTTCCTTAGTTTGAAATTCTTTTGTTTAAAATCGAAAAGAGCTTTTAAGAAAAGCTTTCATTACTGTCTATATATTTGAGAAAGACAAAACAAGAAGTTTTATTTGGGATTTGCTAAGTTCTGTTAGTTATTTTTTAAAAAAATTGGTTGAAACTCAGAGTTATGAAGACTTCGGTTCAAATTCTACCTCTTTACTTCTTATTTGTATGACTTAAATGGATTATTTTGGTCTCACAGTTTCATCATCTGTAAAATGGGAATAATACCTGTAAGTACTTTACAGGGTGGTTATAAGAATCAAATGAAATAATATAAAATCACTGTGCAAATTTTAAAGGTCTGCATAAATGTCTTATTATTATTGAAAACTTTCACTCATTAAAAATTGTTGGCTTTTCTGTAAGTATATTCTAAGACAGTCCCTAAACACATTCAAAAGTCACCTTGTGTAGCAGACAACTTAGATTTTCGTTTGGCTTAGAAATGATAATGAATGGTCTCCAATGGAAAATGATAGCTAAGAGTTGTTTACTTGATGAAGAGAGTCTTCTCCTCCCAGATCTATACCAAGCAATGAAACTGAAGTCCCTATGTTTGAGAAAATTAGGATCTGAGTAGGACAACCACTTGTGTTGTTTGACTATTGTGGATTTAGCATGCAATCCTAGAGTTTCAAGCAAAGTTTTTGTAGATTAAAACATTGTTATCAAATAGCTTATTGTCACTTGAATTTGAGGAGAGAGCAGAGCCTTTGTGTTTTCATGGTTAGGCCATAACTCAACATCATTATTACAAAATGTTTGTTCTCTGTGTTATATGTGGGTCAGAACTTGAGTCCTTTATCATAAAAACCAAAATGTGAAAAAAAGAGCCATTTAAAACTAGCAAAACTAAAAGCAAATATTTTTCCATTTTTGTTTTTATTTTGACTGGTTATTTTACTCAATTTAAAAACAAATTATTAGGCCAAATTCTTTAGAAGACTCAGTTATCCTCTAGATTTGTGATATCATTGATATGTGTGTGTGCCTGATAATGTAGTAGATCACAACCTGCCCATCCTCTGTACCTCTGCCCAAGTTTGCCACTCAAGCTGCTGGAAGTCTTTCTTGATTTCTCTTGACATTGTGAAGATACCAGTGAAGCATTCGGATCTCCAATCATTTATCCCTTGCTTTCACCATAGAACTAGCTTATCTTCTTATTTTGATCCTACATTTCCTTGAGGACATCCTTTTTTTTTGTTTATTTTTTTAGTTCTTTATTTGTTATGTGTTGCAACCTGTTCCCATTGACCATATGCCGCTCCATTGCTCTCTGAGTGATTAGTATTTATAATTCTTAAGAACTGTAGGGTTCCATGACTTAGAGTCATACAGGTAAATATATCAAGAAATGTAAGCCTTTGTTTCAAGGAGAAATTTGGAATCATTAAAGGAGCTTTGCCTTCTCCTAGGGGCAGTCCATCCCACTCTTCTTTTCCCTTTTAATTCTGAGCCCAATTCATTGTCTCTTTATAGTGTCGGGTCAAGATATATATACTGATAGATGAGCTCTATCTGTTGTTTGGCTAATTGCATGTCATTAGCTGGACAATGGATATTCTTCATCTGCTTTTATTTTTTTTTCCTCTGTGGGTGGTTAGGCAGAAGTCTTTTGAGTGGTTATGAATCTCATTCAGGAGGCTCTGAAATCTGGGTTTTGATGGAGTAAATACAAAATCGTACATAGACAGAAACATCTTGAGCACTTCATCGTCAAGAGAGAATGTCTCTTCAATTCTTCAGAAGAGCTGGGAAAACTTGATGGTTTTAGTGGGTTATATTATCTTTGATGAGTCTGTTTATAGCTATATAATTTATCAGGAGGTATAGTCTATCTGGGCAGCTCGGTGGTGTAGTGGATAGAGCCTAGCTGAGCCTGGCGTTAGGAAGACTCAGGTTCCTGAGTTTGATACTTCCTAGCTTTTTGACCCTGGGCAAGTCACATAACCCTGTTTAACTCAGTTTCTTCATGTGTAAAAGGAGTTGGAGAAGGAAATGGCAAACCACTCCAGTATCTTTGCCAAGAAAACACCAAATGGGGTCATGAAGAGTCAGCCATGACTGAAATGAGTAAATAGCAGCAACAAAATAGTCTACCTATAGATAGACTAAAACTTCCACACATAATCCTCACTCCTCTATGTGTTGTCTTCTACTAGAATTTAATCTCCTTGAGACCATATCACTTTTGTATTTGTGTCCCTGGTACCTGGCACAGTTCGTGGCTGACATAGTGGTTGGCAGGACTCATGTTAATTTGATACTCCTTGGAGCCTCAAGGAAAGGAAGTCAGAGGGAATAGTGTTGCAACAGTATGCATAGAAAAAATTTCTCATTTTCTAATTCACTCAAGAGTTTTCTTAGATCACAGTTGTTTCAATAAAGAACTCAATAAATGCTCACTCATTCATTCATTCCTTTTAAGAGACAAAGTCACTGGGTTTTAGAAAGGCAAAGATACTCATTTAAGGTCACTAGTGCTCAAGCTAGAACTCAAATCTAGGTCTTCTGTAACAGTCTCTCTAGATACTGAAAACTCAATTTGGAGTCTGAAGACTGGGTTAAATTTCCAGCTCTGCTACTTACTGCCTTGTGATCTTAAGCAAGTTGCTCCACCTTGCTGAAACTCAGTTTCTTCATTTGTAAAATAGTATTGGTAGACTTATATGACCTCTAAAGTTCCTTCTGGATCCAAGTCTATTTACTATGTTCTTAAGATCTTTGTGAGTGAGTTGCAAAAGGAAATGTAAAGACTTCATAATGTCTTTCTGAAGTAAATTTAATATAGCTTACATACAGTTCAACTTGAAACAGTCTTCCAGTTTCCTTAAAGTGAAAAATCTCTTATTTCCATTAGATTGAACTCAGTAGCAAAGACATTTTCTGAGGATTCATGTTAATTTGATACTCCTTGGAGACTCGAGAAAAGGAAGTCAGCGGGAGTAATATTGCAATAGCATGCATAGAAAATTTTCTCATTTGCCATTTCACTCAACAGTTTTCTTAGGTCACAGTTGTTTCAATAAAAAGCCTGCCATGGGTTCCAAAGGGTACCTGTGAGTTTGTGTCTGGTGTCCCAGCAGTAGGTTCAATTTAACAGAAACCTGGA